GGTACATTTCTTTACCTTTTTACCATCTCTCTTACTTACCTTTTTTCTTTTCTTTTCTTTTTTTAATTTTCCTACTTCTAATAAATATTTCTTAACTTTATTTTCTTAAATTGTTGATATATTGAATAAAAGAATTAATAATTATTTCTTTTATCACAATAACTAAAAAAAATTTTAGGACGGAGAATTTAAAATACTAATATCATGCAATATTTTTTTAAATAATATCATATGAACTAAAACAAAATTAAAATAACAATGACTATAAATATACAAAGTAAAACAGAATTTTAAAAAAATGTAAAACTAAATTTGAATTAATTTTTTTTAGGTGCTAGTAATTGAAACACTAAATATTTTTTAGTTAATTTGATATTATTAAAAAACATTGTATGATATTAGTATTTTAAATACTCCGTCTTAATTTTTTTTAGTTATTGTGATAAAAATAAATATTTATTAATTATTTTATTCAATATATCAACAATTTAAGAAAATGAAGTTAAGAAATATTTATTAGAAATAAAAAATTAAAAAAAAAGAAATGTAACTAAGAGAGAGATGGTAAAAAGATTAAAAAAATACACCTTTATCCATGTGTCAATTAATCAATAGACGGTCACCCAACTATTGTTGATTGGACCTCTCCCGTTGTAAAATTTTTCGTAAAAGATAAGAAAATATACCTTTTGTTCATGTGTCAATTATAGAGGGTCACCCAACTATTGTTGGTCGGACCTCTTCCATTGTAAAATTTTTCATTAAAAGATAAGAAAATGTACCTTTATCCATATGTCAATTAATCAATAGAGGATCACCCAACTATTGTTGGTTGGACCTCTCCCATTGTAAAATTTTTCAACATTCACATTTACAAAGTAGATATATAAATAAATGTGTATTCTCGTAATTTACCGTTGACAATCATTATCTAGTTAAAATTCTAATGAAAAAAACAAAAGTTAATTATCAAAAATGCATATATACCGTGTCATTCTATTCATCCGTTAGTCTAGTTGGTCAGGATATTCAGCTCTTACCCGGAAGACCCAGTTCAAATCCCGGCACCGGAATTCTTTTTTAATTTTCTTTTTTATACTTTTTTTTTATCTTTTCTATTCTCAAGACTTCTTTTTTAATTTTCTTTTTAATACTTCTCTATTCTCAAGACTTACTAAATGATTATAAGTTGTAAATTCTGAATCACGGCTTCACAGTGGCGGGAAAAAAAGCATCAGGAGTGCGTGAGTCCACTCGGTTCTTTTTTCTAGGGTTTTGAAAATCGAAGCAACATGGGAAAGCGAAAGGGAGGAGTAAGCAACATGGAAAAGCGAAAGGGAGGAGGAAGCAACATGGAAAAGCGAAAGGGAGGAGGAAGCAACAATGGAGGAATCGAAGAGAACACAATGGCAATTCTCGATACTTCTGGTTTCAATAGAGATTCTCACCACCGCCACGACGATAGTACGCTTTAAGCTTCTTTCTTCTTTTGTTCTATAATTTGTTTACCTGTTTTCTTCTTCGATTGATACATTGAAAAAAATCTCTCAGGTCTTGCTTTTCTAGAAGCTGTTCGCTCTGCTTCATTGCTACCAGAAAATAGAACACCGCCTACTAGGTATTTTACCCTCTTTTTCTCTGTTTGTAATGGCTGATGTTGTATGATAATGATTTTCTGTAAATTCATATGTAAACTGAACTATATAGATGCATACACACACTGCGTATGTATGTGTGTGTTTGGAGAATTGCACGGATAGTGGAGAGTATCTAGCGGCTTTGGTTGATTGGTATGTGTACTTGGTATTGTTGCTGTATCATAAATTTAAGATCTTTATGATGATTTTGAGGAAAAATGGAGTCCAAACCTTTTTAATTGGCAATTGCAAATGAAGAACAACTAACTACACAAATTCCTTAGGTCTTAGTTATCCCTAAAAGTAGTGTCCTCTTGTATGTCTGGTCTGTTTGCTTTTACTTCCCATCTTTGATTGGTTTAGTATTGTGTTCCTTTGCAGGGTGTTACAGAAGTTGTTGGTATATACTCATTTGCACACATAGTTTTAGAATCATAAAAGATGATGCCTTTTACTTCTGTTGTCCAGCTACTGAAGCTTTAACTCAGCTTGTCCTTTTCCCCTTTCTATTTTCTAATTATTATTCTTTCTTTTGTCATAAGAAATACATAATAATTGTTAATGTGGTTTGTTGTTGCAAGTCTTTTATTTAGTCAATTCACTTTATTAGTGCATAGTTTCTTATTACATCTATTGGTTGATATATAGTCTCTCTCTCTTTGTCTACTAATAAGGAAAGAATGTACTCTACCAATTTTGCATGAACTTACCTTCCAGTCTTAAATGGTTGTTTTTATGTAAGCTCATGAATTGCATAGAACTTCTCCCTTTGTATAAGTGATTGTGAAAACATCTTTTTGTCTAGGACTTTTGCCTTTTATGTTGCTTGTACTATGATCATTGGGGGAACAATTTTGATGCATCTTTGTTTAGTTTTTGTGGCAATATAATCTTTTGCTTACTTGTCAAAAAGAAAAAGCAAAGAAGAAACCATTGTTGCAAACTTGCAATGTAGTTGGCATTAGAGGCGGATTAGAATTCAAAGGTTGCGGGTGTCATATTGTCTAAATGATAAACGGGTCGGTTCCTTATTTTAGATCATACTTCGAGTTATTTTGTTTTTCTTTTCAATTTTTATAAACAGATTGATCAAATATGAATATTCAGTAGTGTTTTCTTTTAGATATTCTACTACTTAAGATGTACCGACGTAATTTTTTTTTAAAAAAAGAATGAGACCTTATTCTCTAAATACATTCTTATTAATATTTATGAGACGCTAAATTAATCTTTAATTAATATAGAATCAGACATGACATTCGTATGAATCACTAATTCTTAGTGAAAGAGAGTCAATAAGAATAATTTAGAAAAAGCAAAATATAGTTACTCCTAATATGATAAATAATTAATAACAAATAAAGAACTAATGGAAAAAAACTAAACCCTGCACATAATAATGAAAAAGAAGAGAAGAGAACAAAAAAAGAGTGGAAGAGTTGATGCACTGTAACGAGGATTCGAACCCTCAACCCCTCACGTACTACGTTGCGCCTTTTGCAATTGCACTGTTGGCAATTATGTTTGATGGGTGGCAAGCGTATTATATATATGATTTTCTATACACACACACACACACACATATATATACACACAAAAAGTTGCGAGCGGTTAGGCGATTGCCTTTTTGAATTGAGGCGCTAATTAATACCAAAAACTTAAAATATTTAATCGCATATATAAATATCCGAAATCTCAAAAGCAAATAGCATATATTAGCAAATACTATGTTATTTAGTATAAAAGTAAATTGAGTAGGGTAGAAATAAATATAGAAGAATTGATTTATTTATTTTTAAAAATGTAGGCAGATTGCAGAAATGCAGTAGCTTCAAAATAACAAAACAGAGTAAACAACAAAGTCTGATCTTCTTCTTCTGCATATGACAGAAGAAGAGAAGAATCTTTTTTACCTAAAACCATACCTGCTGAGTAGCTGAGGTCTCGTCGTGAGTAGTGAGAAGAACTGGAGAAGAGAAGAATAAAGTCGCGAAGTAGTGAGGGAGGAGAACTGGAGAAGAGAGTGGCGAAGTAGTGAGGGAGGAGAACTGGAGAAGAGAGGGTCGCGAAGGTGCAAGGAAAGAAGTCTTAGGTTTGCAATAACACCAAATTAACCCTTATATTTCCTTCTAATTATTAAACCAGATCTTTTTTTGAAAAAATAAAATAAAAAGAAATGACGCCTTGTCGCCTCGCTGCATCGCCATTCTGGACTCGCCATGCCTCACCAGTAAAAGGCGACGAGGCATCGCCTCGCCTCACCTCATCGCCTCGCCTCACCTCATCGCCTCGCCTCATCGCCTCGCCTCACCTCATCGCCTTTAGCGAGAGGCGAGCACCTTTCATAACACTGCCCCCCATCATAAATGTGTGTCAGTTTAGCTTTCAAGTTACCACATAATGTTTGATTAAAAAAAGTTACCACATAAGGTTCCTATTATCTGATATCACGGATATGCTGGAACAGCACGATGCGTGAAGCGATTTTCCAAATTTTGAAGGAAGAGACTTCACTTGAGCTAATAATGGGAAGTTATCAACTTCTAAATGAGTTGGACAAGGTAAGAGCTTGCCTTATTCCTTAGGTTTAACTTTTTTATATTATTACTGCTGCATTTGACTTTCTTACTTGGGATGGATTTTCTTTTGAATTTAGCGATTTCCTAGGCTGTGCTTGCCCAAAATGGAGGAGCAAGCATCATGTCTGCCACCAACCATTCTCAATGAACCTGTTGAAGTTGAAGAGGTATCTCCATCCTCTCACAGATGAAGACACAGTTGTTCTCACACGCAGATGTTTTCTCAATATTAACTTCAATAATGATCGGGTTCTCTATGTCAGGACTGGTGTCCATTTACTCTAGGATTGGATAGGGACGATGAAATAAATAAAGGTTCAAGTGGATCAATTGACCCCTTGGTAAGACTGTGTGTGATGGCTACATCAAACATTTACACCAATTTCCTATGTGTATTTTACTGAACATTATTCTTCCTCTCACATGTATTTTGGTAGCATTAATGTTTCTGGTGATTTTAGGGCTTTCATTCACTAATACAAGAACTTGGGAAAATGATCAATCAGAGGTCAAAAGCATTAGAAACAAAGGTCAGTCACCATATTGAAGCTTTCTTTTGATTTCTATGCCTCACAGTATTATATGTTATTCCTTTATTATCATAGCGTATTAGCTCATATATCAACAGACATGACAATTTCAGATATACTTAATAGTTGTTTGGCCAAGCTTCTACCATTAACATATTTGGAGAAGTGATTTTTTGTCAGAAGTACTTTTATGGAGTAGCAGTTTGTGTTTAGCTAATGAATATCAAAAACAATATTGCTAATATTAGAGTAGTATTTTCTAATTAGTCAATGTTCCAAAAGTGCTTTTTTAGCTTGTAAAAAACTTTTGTTACTTGTCAAAAACAAAATTTCCCCCTTAAAAGCTTGGCCAAACGCCTCAACTCTCTAAAATAGGCATTTTTGTTTATTTTGAAAAAAGAAGCACTTTTGGTACTCCCGAAGCTTGACCCAACAGGCTATTAGTCAGGTGACCGGGTTCTTTTGGCCCATATTGTCATATCAGAATTTCCTTGATTTATGAGAAGATGTAGTCATTTCCTTGGGCATAAGAAGTATGTAAGTTATTTGCCTTTCACATGTTTTTGTTGGAGCAGTATCTCGGGGTGATGACTTAATGATTAACCAAGTGCTAGAATGTGCAGTTAGCTTATGACCATCCTTGTCCAGTGTGCATTTTTAGTTGAGCGTTAAACTCTGAATGTATTGACATATCAAATTCCTTTGTGGATGTACATGTAATTGAACAGCCATCTGACAATCTTGACTAATAAGATAATTTTATGAGTCAATTTTTTAATTTTTTTCTTTAAGAGTAATAAGATAATTCACAGGTCAATTTTGTATTTATATCTTTGTCAGCCAGTTGTCTTGTGATTTGTGCATAGTGTCATCATTGAAGAATTATCCTGCCTTTGTATCTTCATCAAATAGTCTGACAACACCTATTGCAGATATTAAGGAAGATGCTACTACTTCACTATCTTGTCAGTGTGCTTGAAGGAGACTTTGTGCCTCGTATCAAAGCATTCAAAGGTAATAATTTTCAGAGGATTCTTGTTTTCTTCTAGTTTCATGCACCTTAAGAGGTCTTCTCAAAACCATCATTAAAAGGTTCATCTTGCAGAAAAGATGAGTTGGACCATTTTGCGGGATTCATTGCTCAGCATGCTTCTGGTATGTTTTCATTTTCAAATGTCACCATATTATTTGTCTGTAATATTGCTACTTAGAAGTGTGAGTCTACTGATGTATGCTTAGGATCCCACTTCTTATTTGTCTTCCTCTCATTGTTCAGGGGTCAAGAAAAATAATCTATAGAAGCTTAGTCAAGGACTGCCTGTCAGTTATATGTGATGTGTTCTCTGACTTGTATGATAAATATGAGTCCTCTGATGTGGATTCAGTGGCACCTCCTTCAAACGAGATATCACATAATTGCATTGCTGCTTTTGCACTGGCTTTACCTGAACTCAAACGGTCTACTTGTATCTATCTGAAGAATCTCCTGAGGATGGTGGATTCCTGAGCTATTACTCTTTAAAATATTTGACCAATTCTAACTGTGATTTTGTTTCACAATTAGATGATGGACCTGGATACATCACGTAATGTGGCAGATGTTCAAGGCTGTACCACCAGAGCTGATAGTGTGAGGTATTTTGTTGAATGAATGATTTTACTTTAAATAAAATCATCAGATTGGAAAATCCAATTGATATCAGAGATAGTGCAGAACACCTGCTGCAGAGATCATTTTGGATGAACTCGCTTACAATTCTGATATGCTCTCCCCCTTTTTTCAGGTAATGTCCTTTCCTCTTAAGTAGGATAATGAGATGAAACTTATGTTTTAATTGGGACGATGTTAACATTTTACCCTACATGTTTCTTTATCATTCTGATGTATCTTGCTTGTCAAGGAGAATGCTGTATAATATGGTCAAATAATTTTCTGCAGGTCTTTGATGACCCTTGGTGGAAGCTAAAAATAATCATGCAGCACTTTCAGAAATACACTCCTAAGGTAAATGCATTCTTCTATCATCGTGCCATATGTTAACTGATTTTTAAACCGACAGCAGAAGTATCTTCACTTAATTCACCGAATGTAAGCTAGATACAAGGACTGGGGCTTTGTTTTAGCTTATTGAATATATTTTTATTTTGAAGCTTAATATTTCGTTATTGGCTTCTTTTGTTACTGTCATTCTGTTTTATTATGCATCGATCTGTGTTATTTTCTTGGATCTTTGAAGATGTCTAATGTTGTATACATTCGAATAAGTTGTACTTGAGGAGTCCTCTGTAGATATTGACCACCAGACTCTTTTATTTGAGACATTGACATACATCAAATGACTCCTTGCTTATTCTAGTACTTCCATGTACTTACTAAATACAACTTACCATTTGTTCTCTTTTAGGCTATGTTGTGCAGGTCTCTTCATTTTGTTTTTGATGGCAGAAATGCTAAGTTGTCCATGCATGCATAGGAAAATCTTTGTCAAGATATTACCTTTAACCAGACTTATCATAAAAGATAACTATTTACTTTTAACTAGTCCCCTGCTAATCTCCTTTTGAATTTAATCATGAATTCCCTACAGATTTCTAGACTCTGGTCAATGCATTGTTGAAGTACTAGGCATGACTGTGGAACCCTCTGTTGCTTGGTGCTTTGATACCCAGGAGCTTTTGCTTTCAATTCAATCATATTCAAGAAGTATGGATATAGGTTGGACCCTAGATGCTTTATGGAAAATTTATATTGGGAATTAGGAAAATCTGGAGCATTAATTTTCCAAACCTCTTAGATGGGGAATGGTGTACGAGCAAGTTCCTTGGAGCGTTACAAATGTCCTTTGTTTTGACAACTTGAACATTTTCAGCAAATTACTAGTTTGCATTTCCTTTTCAGGAATTCCAAAAGATCTATGTCCCAATTTTATTTTATTTTTGGTTCTGTTGGTTGTTTTCCTGTACCCTATATTAGTTGAGTTGTCCTCTAACAAAAAAGTTGCTCTATTTGGTTTTCTCACCTTCTTTGTTTGATGTTGCCTGCTTTGATACCGATGTTACAAGCTATAAGATTTTGAGAATTTAATACCACTTTAATGTACTTTATGTTGCAGTTTCCTGTTCGTACTAGGAGATCAAATAGTCTGGTGAATGATTCCACATTTGAAGGTGTTTTAAAGTGCTTCTCAAACAGCAGGAGCACAAAAAATATCATCAAGAAAATTGGAATGGATGTTGCTCAGCTGCTTCTTGCGCATGCCTTTTTGGTGATTAATCCTTGCAAAAAAAATTTGTTTACTTCTAGGATATCCAATTTGATTCCTTGGATAGTTCTTTCCCCGCAGAATTTCAATAAGATGCTGCAAAAAGATCTTTGAGTTCAGTTATAGATAATCATTTTGATCTTTTTCTCACCAGGATAAGTATTTCATCCTCTTGTAGGCTTATTTGTCAGTATCAGTGGATTCTTCTGCTCAAAATGATGATTTTGAAGAGATGGTGAAAGGAAGCTCTCTCACAGAAATCTGCAAGCATATAATAGCTGCTTTTACTTTTATCAGAAAAGAATACAAGTAAGATTCATTATTTTTTTATTTTTTTTGTAAAGTAAGATTCACTTGATGTGTGTTGATTAGCCTTGCTTTCACATGCTGATGTTATGTTGAATTTCCATGGAAAAATTCTGCCGCCTTCTCATGTATTTTTGAGCCACCCATTGCACAAGCTTCACATAATGAAATAGGCACCTAATAACTTTTAGGTTCTCTGGGCAGAAGTGTTCATTAGCACCTGCAACATGACCATTGAAGTACCCATATTTTTATTCTTTTTGTGAATTTTGTATGGATCACGTTCCTCTTAGCAGTTTAGCTTCTTTAGGAAACATGATGCCTTACTTAGTTCCAACTTCCATATAGAGCTAGATTGGATGAGCCAAAAAGATCAGAAGGCCACATCTAGTCCAGGAATTTTTGATCAGGTCTCACTTGTAATTTGGATTAGTACTGTAGTTAGAAAAACAACTGGGTGAGACATAAGTCCTCTCTAGGAAATTAGAATTACTGGTATTTCAAACAATTGTTCAGATCTGGAAAAGAAAATGATTGAAGATGCAACTAGGGAGGATTACATGGTGATCTGCATCTAGAATTCATTCTGTCACTTCTGAGCTAGCAAGTGATTAGAATTTTTTCTGCAATGCTGGCTTTCCTGTCCTTACAGATTTGTGGTATTAGAACACTTCTTCTTTTGATGCCTCAGATGATATACTAACGTGGAGAACTTGAAGTTAATTTAACATAAAAGTTTTTCTAGTTTCTAGCTCTGCACAAGTTAATAAGTCGACATATCATGATGCAGGAACACAGAAATTCTACTTATGGGTAAAGAAGCAGTGTTTACAGCCTCGACCATTCTCTCAACCAAGTCATAGGAGAAACAGCAGTTACTATTTATTGTTCATAATGTATATTTGGTCAAATGGGGGCAATTTGCAAAGCCCTCCTACCTGAAGTCGGCCAAATGATGTTTCTACACAGCCAGTAGTGGTCAAATGCTGATCAAGGAAACCTCAGTGAAAGCTTCATTTAATAGCCAATGGAACTGTCCTTTGTAGTTACAGGAAAACCGAAAAAGGGCAACTCTAAAGAACTTGGTGTATGTATGAATATATCCATAGCACTAAGCTATGTGTTAATGCTTAAATGGATCACTTCAATGTTAGTGTATTCTGTCCAATGATAGTCGTGAAAACACTGAACAGAACAAAATGGAAACAAACAATGAAACTTGTCTGATGAATTATTTGAAGCGCCATGTTCTCATGAGAGGTGTTGATGTGCTGTGGATGATATGCAGGATGTTCTCAAATAATGTTGGTGCAATGTACTATCGGAGTAAGTTTGCAGCTACTTCAACAAGTGATAACAGCTATAAGCTGAAAGTTCATATTCATGACACTTTAATACAAGTTTGAGAGTTAGGAGTATAATCCTGTATGAGTAATAAAATTTCACTTGGGTAAAACAGAGTTTTTCTTTTCCCCCTCTTTTGATATCTTTCAGGTTTTGAGATTACTAAAATTTCATAAAATAATAACCCAACACTTGGTGCCTACTTTTAGAACGCTAGATTTTATCATTCAAATAGCAACAGAAGTGCTTAGGAATCACTTCCTCAATTGCTTCAAGTCTCATTTTGACGGTTGTGCTGAGTCAAGATTCATTGTCACAGGACCGTCATTGACCAAATTGACCTACAAAATTAAAGAAATACCAAAGTCTGAGAATATCCTACAGTTCAACAGAATTTTAAAGCTAAAAGAAATAATTATTTTCAGAGAACCTCACCTTCATCTTTGCTCCAAAGACACCATCTGCAATAAACAACAAATAAGGTCATCTCGCATTATACAATTTGTGTAATTTTAGCATTCTCACTAGAAGTGCAGAAGTTACTCCTGTGGATCCATTATTCAACGAGTAACCTAGTTAGGCGTTTTGAAAGCATTTCAGTCTAATAGCTGAAGCTCTGGGGCTTAACTACGGTGAGTAAAATAGTATGACCAGAAAATACAAGGATATAATACTTTATACCTCATCAGTAAAAACAAGAGTATCAAAACCAGTCAATCTTTGATCATTGCACAGAGAAACACAACTTCTTCGCATCATACTAACGAAGACCTTTTTTTTATTACTTACAGAGACTAAAATATCTTCAAGAATTGGAGATTTTGAAAGAAACCAGATATTAATTCAGCTTTAAGATCTGTGATACTGATCTATGCTTGTGCAATTTTTCCAAACCAAGCAGATATAAGAGCCCCCAATAATGAGATAGTTGAAAGAGCAACACCATGGATAAAAAACCAATAGCTTTATCCAGTGAATAGTCATCAGATGTAATTACTATGACTGCATGGATGATGTTGAAAGCAACAATTTAAAAGCTTAGGCTTTTCAAAAGCTCATCCAAACACTTCAATTACTTAGAAGAATATCTCACAATGGCTGGAGAAATTTAGCCTTGTGTTCCATATGTACTGATATATAAGTATTCTAGTCTGAGGAAACGATTACTAAACATTCCTTCTCATAGAAGGGGATAGCTATTATATCACAACATTCCAGATTAGAACATATTCCAACATTACAACACTAAATTTCTTTAGTTCAAGGCAAAATTAAAGTATTAGCATTCTGTATTAGAACCTTCATGGTTAAGTTATCGACATGTATAGTCTGCAAATAGAGTAAAGATAAGCAAGTAATCAGCATTGGGGGAAATGCGTTGTGCTGACAGACTGGAACTGGTGCTGACTTGTTATGAAAGTAAGGTAGGAGGAGTTCAGTCAAAAATATAGAAGCCATTCAGCAAAAGAACAAAGAGAGACATAGTTGATATCCACTTTTATCTTTCCATAGGGACTAGTGTTAACAGAAAAGGAGATCAAAACTGAGAATTCATGGAAAAAGTTTTTTACCTTTGACGGCATCCTGTTTGTAAGCTTTATGGAATTTCTCAACCAGAGAGGCATAGAAGGGTTTTGCTTTCTCAGGAGGCATTGCGACATGAAAATCAGGCTTGTTTCCCTTCAAAATCCCATATAGTGTAAACTGACTCACTGCACCATCCAGTAGAGACATACAAGTAAATCATTATACATCCTGATCAAAGTTTAACTTATTTTCCCATCATTGAGACAGCCAAAGCATCATCTTTAACACTTAGACCACTGTGAGAACCTGTGCAACAGATCAGTTACCTAATAGAACTTCATAATTCTTCTGAACTACCTGCCAATGGACAATAGAAGCGGACAAACTTAAGACTCAAGCAGTGACGTAAAACTAAGTAAATATGTACACAGTAAATAATACATCTTTTGTCAAGCCATGAAATACGATCATCATTTACAAAGATGCATCGCAATCTCCGACAAGATATAAAAAGGCAATGATATTCTATACTCTATGAAACCGCAGTGCCTAAAAATAACCAACATGGTGACATTTCCAAATTAGTCTTGACTTGAGTAAAGATTTAAACAATTAACTTCTTCATACATGTATTACTAGCTGGTCAAAGATCTTCTTCTGTATCCTACATTCTGCTTTTGGAGATTATCTTCCATGACAATGCCATTCAATGTGGGTTGAAATTTTTTCCTTAAATGTTTACAAACATATGTTTTCATGATATGAGAAGTCTTTATGATGTTTGTTGTTGTTGTGTAATATCTACCACATTTTCTAGATGGTATTTGGTAACACTCACATGGATAAATGTACTCCATCCATCCCAATAATCTAAACCCATTCGACTTGTAGAGTCTAAGAACGAAAAGTTCAATAGGTAATCACGTGAGTTCAGTCGGAAAAGGAGGATGTCATTTTTAAAACTAGGCCAGACTATTTCAAATTGACCAAAAAGATAAGTTTAATTAAATGGGAAAGGGAGAGTAAGGTCAATAAGGGAGTAAAAGAAATGGCCCATTTACATTCTTTCTGAGTTGAAATGCAGTTCGTCTTATAGTTCAGTCTAAAGTTTGAGCGATGATTTTATTTCAAAATTTGCAGTTCGTCTTATTGTGCAATCTCCTATCTTTCGTAGTATCTCCAATAGAAGTTAAACAGTCTAATGCAAGCAATGAATTTTCAAACCAAGAGTACATTGCAAAGACGAACTTCTCATTTTCTTAACAAATGTAACCTCCAGCTAATAACACAGGGAGTAACTTATCCATTTTATCCTACTTCCTTTTACAGTTTACAAGATAGCAACAAGTTCAATCAATCAGCTAGACCTAAATCCCAAACTAGTTGGTGTTGATGATATGAATGCTCTATATGTTCTGCTTTTTCTTTTCCTCTAATAAATTGGACATGGGATGCTCTTGTAATGCAGCCAAATATTCATCTCATGAGATGAACTGTTCTATGTCAATGCTTATCAGTTATCAGTGATATATCTTCTAAGAATCAACTAGCATAAGAGGTAAATTTTTTTACAAAATAATAAAGCATTGATTCAAGCTAAAATTTTCAGTGTCCAATCAGATAATTGGTTAGTAATGCTTAGGCAATATATAGCTGTAAAAATCAGCACTCAGAAGCCACACACTATATCAGGCAAAAAATAATATGCAATTCCATCATATAGCAACAAAAGCTCATGATAAGGGTGTTCACTCTACAGGAGGTTCACTATTACATGGACAACAGAGAGAAAATTACACTGTGATCCCATGTCTTTCCAGTTTCCTCATTTGGGAACAATCTCATATTCAACACTTTCCGGCATCTGCAAAATTACAAACAGTAACAGAACCCAAAAAACAAAGGAAAAAAATTGATTCGGAAAATATTTATCTTCTATTGAGCATTTCAAAGTACTAATTTTTACAGTCACAGTTCACTTACATGTAGTCAGCATCGGAATCAACGTCTGATTCATGAAGCCCGACGAGAACCAGCAAGCCCGGCCCGATTGCTGATACCGTACGCCCCTCGACCTGAAAAAAATTGGTATTATTCACTAGGTGAGCAATGAGCATCACTATTCTAGCTGGTATATATATAATAAATAGAAGAAGAAAAAAATCTTCAAAGGTTTCACCTCTACGCTGGCTGAAGCAACACGCTGGACCACGGCCCTCATTATTGGTTATTCCGATTCACAACTTCTTCGTCGCCGGCGACTGGCGAGACAAGTCAGGTGGAGCAATTATGGCACAATGTAGCACACCCTTGCTGTTCTTATTCCTGGCGCAATTTAGCACGCACTCTAATTTTTTTCTCTAGTAAAACAGAAATAAAAGTATTTTTTTCTCAACTTTTGACTTTTGCTAGTCGTTTATTTTTGGAAAAATTATTGAAGTCAAAATTATATGAAAAAAAATCTTTTTTCTTAAATAATAGTGTCTATTTTAATTTGTACATTTTAACTTTTTATGAAATTTAAAAATTAATTAAAAATAAAATATTTTTTTAAATCTTGTAGTATTAATCGAAAAATTGAACGTACAAAACACTTTTTGTTAAAAAAATTCTTTTCTTTTGAAAAAATTTCTTTAGTAATTTTAAGGATACAATAATTTGGGGCATAAGACAAGTGTCTGTCTTATTTTCCATAGCATAAACCCGTCCTTGTTTAAGAGATTCCAATCATTCATCACAATTCATAATTAATTCGTGTTTTAATTGGTTATTTATTATTTTTTTAAATTACATTACCAATTAATCTTATTAAATAAAATTAACTGTAATTATAAATGATATGTTTGTGTAAACACTATTTTACAATGTTAGTGCACTACACTGGAGAACACTTTTTATTTTCCCCATTTCCATTCATCTAATTGAGGGAAGCCAAAAGAAAAATATATTAATGACAGAAAAAGGGAAAGTTTTTTTTTCTCTTTTAATCTCAATTCTCCTCTTTCTCCAAGGAGATATCATAGATGTGTTCAAGCAGTACAAGATTCCTTCAACAAAATTAGAAGAAATAATCAAATAATAATAAAAATAAAATAATTAGGTGAAAAATAAAATAATCCAATAACACACAAAAATCACACATGATGCATAGTGCAATCTTTTCTAAATTCCCCATGTTTTCTTCCCCTTTTGACCCCAATACCTCCCATTTTCTCCATAGCATCAGCAAAAGCTTGAAAAAACTTATGTTTATCCTTAGCCAATTCTTGAACCAATGGCTTAGTCCTAGGGTCCAAAGACAAAGCTTGATCAGAAGCCAATAATCCCAATTTAGCCTCTAAGTTCCCATAATAAGCATTGTCAAATGAGAAAGGTGTTGTCACATCAAATGGTGCTACAATATCAACATTTCCACCATATTGTGGACATGACATTTTTAATGCCTTGAAAAGCCTAGGATCCATGTAAGGGTCAGGTTTCTTGGTCCCTTTGTAGTTATAAATTCTGTTCACAAATTGCTTGCAATGTGCAAAACCTATTGTATGTGCACCTGAGAGGACCACAAGGTCCTCTGAGGTGAGCCCTTTAGAGGAAAAAAGTTTTAAAAGTTGGTCCACTGTTGAATTTGATTGTGGAAGATTTTGGTGCACCCTTGATGCCTTTGATAACTTCCCATCCCATCTTCCTTTCTTCACTTCATAATAGGGTCCTCCAACCTATTCATCAAATCAACAAATCTTTACGATAAAATTTTAAAACGAATACAAAGTCTGAACTAAAATTACTGAATTCTGACAAACTGTGATTAAAAATGCAATGGTCAAGTCAAAAGTTTGTTGTTATCCCAAGAGTTCATTTGGAGTCCTCGGTATTATAAGTAGATTAAAATATGTAGCTCACATGTCATTCTAAATCTATTTGATCAGGTATGTTTTTTAACTGCCACTTCAATTGAGAAATCTTTACTGCAATTTGGTACTCTCTTGCCAACATATATATATATAGATGACTAGTGTACTAATTGACAAAAGATAAAAAGTATGACCTTTGTCTTGTTTATCATATTATGCCAATTGGACAGCTATAAATTTGAACTTTTTATGTGTCAAAAAATATATATTATACTGTACGATTTTGGACTATTGCCTCCAATATATTAAACATTCGTTGAGAACCGTTTGATTCTTCTCATAAAATTTGGATAATATGAGAAGGAGACGATTTCGACGAAAAAGAAATAAGACCAAATGGCTCACTTTTTTTCTTTTTATTTAGACTTATTTTGTTGTACTATGAGTGTATTTCATTTGTATTTGAATTAGTAGACTTACTAAGTGGACAAAATTTCTGGTAGCAATGGCAAGAATGTCTGCACAAGAAACAACACCAGGACACTTGCTTTCTACAATAGCTTTGGCTTTATTTATGCCCTCAAATGCCTCTTTAGCTATATCCTTGTTATCTTCTGCATCTTTCTCTGCTAATTCTTTGCTTCCTGCTTTACTTGATATCAATATTGACCCATCACACCCCTGCATTCAAACAACAAAGTTAAAAAAAAAACATATGTACTCGCAATTTATTTTTTCTTATAACAACTGTATCCCGGCCAACTTGGCACAACTCGACTATAAAGGTTCTCGGAGGTGAATGCACAATGTTAATAACGAATTTAGCAGAACTCAGTAACTTAGCTCTATCTATTAAGAAATTTCAAAAGAACATTTACGGATATATGATCCTATAAAGTTTAAATTTTAAATCCGCCTCTATTTGTATAAATGTAAGCAATTCACTTAGAATAGCATTTTTGAACCTAGCTAGCACTTGCGCTGAAAAAAGTTACTGCTAGTAAATTGTGACTTACTTCAACAAAGCAATCATGGAAAAAAAGACGAATGGTGGCAGGACCAGAGGCAGGGGCTTCTTTGTACATGTTGGAAGTTACAGAGCCTACCAGAGATTCAACTTGAGGGCATGATTTGGCGTAGTAGTTAACGGAGAGTTGTCGAGGAGCACGCCGAATGGTGGCCTTGATTGGTAGTTGAGAATTGGAGAAGGGTAAATTGAGGAAGAAGAGGAACATAAAAATGGTGACAAAGGAAGAAAATGTGGGAGAAGAAGACATGGTTGTTCGGTTAAGTGACTAAGACAAAATAGGAAATTGTGGAGAAGTATATAGGAAAAATCGAAAGGTGACTGCTATAGACAGACAATAAGTAGCCATGTTCCAAAGAGGATATAAATGGACCCGTGAGGAGATGCCCAATCAATAAATATTGGAATACATAAATAAATATGATGGGAGACATCAGGTGAATATACACTTCTCAGTCATTTTTTATTTATTTTTCCTCCCTATTTCGTTACGGTAGTTGTGACCACTAACCAATGATTCTTTTTAATGACGGTGGTGTCGATGCGCATCTCAATTGATTCCACAGATACTTTCACCTCCTATTAGCAACAAGTACTAAGGTAACTGTCCATCAATGCTAGGACAAATGAGAAGAATCACCTAACATTTCTTTTTGTCTTGATAGAATTTTTAACCATTTCATTGATTACTACGTCACACCAATTGTCAGTTAATCAAGTGAGCTAGCCCTCAATTGTATACTATTTGCTCTTTTTAATCTAGGATGGGGTGGGGGACAAAAGGGATGGAACCATCTGTTAAGTTGTACACTTAAAGAATCTTATGTTAAATTTAGTGAAGTAAAAAGGGTAAGTAAAAGGTTAAAGATGAGTGGAACAGTGACTAAGCTTTATGTCATAAAACACAAAATTTAACTGATTTGCTTTCTATGGTACAGCAAAGAAAGGCAAAAAGTAAAAGGTAAGGTATGTGTCTTTAGTCAAAACATGAAGAAATTCTAATAATATGTCCATGTTCACTAGTAACTTTTTCTCATTTTCTCTGTTCCATTATGCTTTCGCCATTTCATTTTTATAATTAATCATGTTACCAACACCAAAAGAAGAGGAAGCTCGACAAAACAAAAACTTAAGCAAAAGCAACTTGTATTTCAAGCAAAGAAATAACTAAGCTCATGATTGTTCCTTTCTTTTCACTACCTAAAAAGCCAAAAGATAATTAGTCTTCAGTCTTGGATCTGTTAATTTTGTGTTTACTTAAGTGAAATTGTTTGTTATGAGTGAACCTATTTTTGTTTTAAAATATAGAAGTATTTTTTTCAGCATAACATGTTTGGTCTGAAATGGGCCTAATTCCATGTAAATATGCAAATTATGCTTCAAAAGGAATATTCACAATAAATTGAAGCACCCAAGAGTACAACCTAAACGTCAATAAAGTAGGTGAGAGTCATAAAAAACAACGATTTAAAAACAGAAGACGTTGGTTGATTTCTTACAACTTGTCCTGATGAGTAGAGATATCTGGTAACACCCCATTTTATGAGAAAATATTCACTTCAAAAGGAATTCCATTTCAAGCCACACCTAAAGAAAGATTGCTCAAAAGAACTTTCGAAGCTCAGATACTTAAATGCATAGCATGTGCAAGTGCAATGAGAGACCTCACTTTCACACAAGATGCACTTTTTACTCTTTGTATTTAAAATTCAATCATCCCTTTGTTGATATCACTGGCTTTCTACCAGAAATGAGCTCAGTAAATGCTGTGGACCATGCACTTCCAGGCTTCACATTTTCTCATGCCAGGCTTTAATTGTGCCCCTGAAAAAGGAGAATTTTTAAAAACTAAAAAGTCACTTTCAAGTATAAATTTTTTGTTTCCAAGTGAGTGACCACTTTGTGAGAAGTACATAACATTCGAACTTTCATGTTGTCATGATCATTCCACTTTGCCTATCCATTTGTTCATGAGTTGGAATACTATTCTACAATTTATAATTCTATTGAAACCTTTACATTTGAATTGATTCAGATTTCAGAGGAATCAATGTTCGCTATAAGAAGTTAGTGCAGAAAACTGAAAACCTATATAAGTATGTTTTGATATTTTGTTACTCCGAATAATCCCACTTCAATTTGACCTTGAATTCCCCAATTCTACAGCAAGTTGAGGATGTTGGGAAGAGCCATCATAAATTTGGGCAGCGTCTGAAGGACTCACCAAGTGCCACTTACGCGAATCAGCCCTCTCGTCTACCCCAAGACCTGCTGCCCGGGCAGACGTTACTCTCCTTAAAGTTACTATAGGCTTGTCATTTTTGTTATACCGTATAATTCCAGCTGTCTTTGTCCATAAACTTTGATCAGTTGATGGATGAAGTATATTGTCACGAAATGCACCAGTCAGTTGCCGGGATTTTCTGAATAAATGATACACATAAAATAGCAAACAGAGAGTTGATGTTGCACCAGAGACTAGGTACAAGCCCCAGAAGCTCCCAAGGGTGAGGCTTTCTGTTTCACCAGTAGGATCAACATTATCACAATTCTTTGACAAAGCAAACCAATGTTCTTCCAAGCGGTTAAGCGTACCATCTTGTGTTAGAGTCAGTATGGCTTCAGATACATCACGAGCTAGCGGAGAGCCTTTCTGAAATGCCTGGTAACATCAATAAAGTTATGCAAATCAGAGATACAGACTATAGACACAACTATGGGACTGGTCATGGTTTTAAAAAGAGCAAATGGTGTAGTTATTTGTACTTACAAAGGCTAGTCCTCCAAATCTGTAATTAGGACCAGCTACAACATACTGGTTGCAATGCTCTCTAAGGAAGATCTTCTGATATGGGATTTCAAGAAAGGCGGCTTTGATGTTTCCATTTTCAAGTTCCTTCGGATAATCGTCCTGATTACTAATGTTCTTGATATTTTGAAGCTCCAGGACTTGCCTCAAATAATCCTTAACAAAGGAATCACCATCACATCCAACGGTTGCGTTTGTTCTCTTTATCCACCCTATATCTTTCACACTTGGTTCCAGTCTAGGAACAGTTAACATTGATGTCAGAGAAGCTGTATAACTCGAGGTCAACACGAAGACCAGGAAAAGCCAAACCACTACTACAGTCTTCGTGTAGTTGCTTTTGATGTTTTCCCCTGATTATCAGCCAAAGTAAAAAATTGTTATCTCCTTCTACTGTTTAAACAAAGTTAATATGAATATTTCACGGACACTTCATTTAACATTAAAGATTACAAGTTGTTCGATTTCAAATACTAAATGTAGGATAGCAAAACTTACTATGAGCAAAAAATAGTGAAGAGAATGTAAACCACATTGCAGTTCCGAGTTGATCTTTCCACCGGCCTCTAAATTCAGGATTGGACTGATGCTCCATGAACCAAACTACAAGCATTGTGTAAACTAAGACAGAACCTGTCGCTACCCACATGTTTCCAGTGAAAGGCTTCAAGAACATCCATGCCTTTTTCGATTTATCAAACTTCACTGGAACCACCATGGTCAACCCTGACTCTGCAAATGGCTGTGTGAACTCTATATATTTTGTCCTTTCAGCTAATATCGTTATATCTCCAACGATAGCATCATATCTCTGACAGAAGGAGACATATCAAAACATGAAAAAATTACACAAGTCCAAAGCAAAGCCTCAAGTACTAAATGTTTTTTGCTTGGTATAACACAGGGTACTGTATGATAAAAAAGTAGGCGACAAGACGAAAAGCTAGATAGTATTTAGCATATTGGAAACAAAATGCTTACCCCATTAATCACTTGCTGAACCAGATCAGGATATGATCCATCATATGCTTCAAAATCATAAGGTAGTGTATAATTTTTCTCCAAAATTTTAAGTACTTCTTTGAAAAGATCAATACAGAAACCAGTATACTTCATTTCATTTGTCTCAGCCACTGTTTCAACCTTAACAAATTTCTCGAAAGATGTTCTCCCTGGAACTCCAATAATCAATGGTTTTGCATCAGTAGGCATTGCCCACCCTTTCGGGACACGTTTCAATTCTCCAGGCCATTTAACCATACTAAACTTCATAACACGGGAACCATTAACCCCGATTAACTCCCCATTTTCAGCTTCAAGAACTTTCGAGAATCCAAACATTGATGACCAAAAGCCAAGTCCATTATACCTGTTTCCATCAATGTTTACAATCCTAAACGTTGGAGGGTGTGACAGTACTCCATTGACAAAACTAATATTGCCAGTCAAACCTGTGAAATTGCTGGAAAGAATTCTGTTTTTCATCAACACTGAGTCATTGGAACTTTTCGCACCCAAATTGTTCACAGCGTTAGCAAAAGCTGTGATACTGTCATATGCTTTTAGAGCATGAATTCCAGGCTCTGAGTGATCTTCCGTAGGATATTCAGACCGGAAAATCTTTTGAAATTGACCTTTAAAATGTCGGAAAGACTTAGTGGCTTCTGCATAGTGATTTTTGATTCCTAAAGCCCCTTGGATAGATGAAATAAAGGCTTTGTCAACAGAATCCAAGAGATCAGCAAGAGAATCTGCAAGTATCCAAGCTGAATCTCTTCCCATAAGTCCAATTTCCTTGGCTTCTTTAAACAGATGATTGGCAGTGGATACTGATGAGCGAAGAACTATAAAGACCCTTGATTGTTTCTGTAGTAACTTGACAACCTCTCGTCGAACAACCTCCCTTGGATCGGACAGAGAAGAGAATTGTGGAAGAATTAGTTGATGCTCTACTTCTACACCATGACCTTTGAGTGTTTCAGTTAGAACTGCAAGCATACTAGAATCACTATACATGTCATCTTCATAAATTACTATGACTTTCCTCCACTGGTAGGAGCTAACTACACTAGCTGTACAATTTATTTGGTCCAAGCTACTTGTAGTCATTTGCACCAAGAAAGGCCATCTAAGCTGCACCAATTCTGGTGTATAGGAAGCTGTGACAAAAGAGATAATTGGAACTTGATGCCTTTTCCCAATATCGGCAATTAAAGCTGTTTCTTCCCACGTCTGCATGCCAATAACTATCATCTTTACATGGTTTCGTTCAACCAGCTCTTCAGCTGCACCACAATTGTAAAAACAACTATGAAATGAGTTTGAGTTCTATGCACTAACGGTCTAAAAAAACTATTTGTATAACTAAATCTGTATGATAAACATTAACTACTAGTAATATGTTAAAAATCAAAGTATAAGCAAAAACGATTAATCCTGGTGTAAAAATTTGTATTGTTTTCTACAACATATGGTATGAAGTACAAACCATGACTTACCATCTAATCCCTATATACCTTTATATTATGTTTCGTTTTCCTTTTAAAATCCGCATAAGTATGCGACTCTTAATACTGGAAACCTAAAGTTGCATAACTAATATTGGTATCATTTTGTATGGGATAAAAGTTTGGAATAAGTAATATGTACCTATAACGCAATATTTGTATTCTTTATTGACCATATAACAATAATCCATGTGTTATTTATTCTTTCCCTTTTTTTAAAAAAAAAAGAAAAAGAATTGGGGGTAGGGGAGGGGAAGGGGAAGGGGAAGTTGAATCCTCACCGGTCACCGTGTTCAGGTAATGAACTAACTTGAGCTATTAAGATTTTCCAATGTATTAGTTATTTTTGATCTAACAATTATAAATAAGAGTTCCCAATGTGTTAGTTATTCTCCATATAACAATCCCCAACGTACAAACAATCCATGAATAATTGTTATGGATTTAGATTTTAGACGAGATATAGATATATCAAATTGATAAATATCAAAAGAAAAGTCTAAGTTTCAAATTACCTGTGAAGAAATCCTGAATTGTGTCCTTGCTGGTGTTTCTAAAATGAACTGTTATAAGCTGCTTGTTGTTTCTTCTGTCATGGTTATAATTCTCTACTGCTATATTTATGCCAGTTTTCTGTTCCTTCCCTATACGAGAATTTAAGTCAATAATTGCACCTATTTTTATGGTTTCATTTGCAGTTGCTTTGACAGTTACAAGGGACATAAAAAGAAAGGCCTTGAGGATGAAGATCAACATTATTAAAAATTTTCTACTTCAGCTGAAAATATATTTTTCTTTACAAAATTAACCAATATATATAATCCTATAATGTTATCTACTTGTCAATTGTTTTTTTCATTTTGCAGTTGAATTGACTATATGTCTTGTAGTTTAAATTGAAAAGTAAAAGAATGGTCATACTTTGCCACCAATTGTAAATTAAATTGAACCGTGTGGACTTGTACAAATATCAAAAAGAGTACTCATTATTTTTTCAGACTATGGGAATATTAGTTGAAAACTAACATAAAAGAAAAATGTATAAATCTTCTATTTTTTCATGGATCACAAGAAAATTCGATCGGTATACTTTTGATGTGTACATGATAAATCATGCTACATATGCTTGCTCATGTGTAATACAACGTAATTCACAAATATAGAAGATGTAAAATATATTAAGATAAATTTGATGTGGCGAAGAATTCGACTATTCTAATTCTAATAAGTAATATGTACTTTTAAGAGGTATATAGAGTTGTAGAGACGCCATTAGCATGCTTTTTTTTACTAAATAAATATTGAAATTTCAATGAAGAAAAAAAGGTACTTGGAAATCATCCATTCCAATAAATATATTTTATGGCTTTGAAGTCGGAAAATTTAAACCATGTACTGGTCTATTTTTAAAAAGTCAATTTGTGCTATAAAAGTTACTTAGACCAAATAAAAAAATCTAGGATAGCAGTGTCTCAATTAATTTCTAATAGCTTCTATTTTGCACTAATTAGTAATCTGTGGTTTAAAGAGAAGATTAGGTCTGAGTCAAATACCTTTACGTGGCGTTATTGTGGAAGAATTGATTGTCAAAATGTGTTCGTAAAATATTTGAAAAATTGGATTAGTTCATTCATTATGTTTAGATTAAGTCATAGTACTGCAAATTAAATTAAAGATAAAAAGTTCTGCATCGTTTTTATTTGAAAACCAAAATCATTTTAATTTAATGTTTAACTGAGTTTAAGTTGATTTTCAACTCAGAAATTATATTTAGTTATTGAAAAGTATTTGATATCAAATAAGAATGCGCTCTTTCTAGATGTACCGTATAGCCGAGGAAGAGAATTAAAAATAATATTATGTCAAGCACATACCGTAAGCTAATTTCAGATTAAACTCCTTTCGATAATTTGATTAGTCTGATTCGTTTGCCACACATCAAATTTTAAATGAAATACTCTTTTAATTTTGACTAATTCAAAATTATTCTTAATAGTCTTAAATTCTAAATATAAGCTCTTCCTGATATATCAAATCTTTTAATATATTATTCACTTCAAACAATTTTCATCAATCTGATTAATTTAAAATCCATCTTTAATAGTCTAAAATTTTAAATATAAGCTCCTCTTTTAATTTTATTCACTTCAAATCATTTTGTGACACATCAAATTTTAAATGGAGTTTTGAAAATTTTTAATGGCTCAACCTGGAAAAAGGAGAAGAAGGAAGGAAGAACCAAAAAAGAAAATTTTGACCCAATACATATTTTGTAAAGTATATCATTGATATAATAATAAAATAATTAAATAGAAGAAAAGTATTAAAGGATCATTTTTTTCTATATAACGATGAAAAAATTTATCAGCATCAAATATTTATATTAAGTCAATATAATTTTATTATTAATATAGAAGAATGATTATAACCTAAGTCAGCTCGCAATAGACTCAAATATTTCATTGAATATATATTGTTTCTTATAGATAAGCTAGATGAAGGTGTCTGTTAGCACGAGTCCGATATCTTAGTATTTTTTATTTTAATTTATGTGAATATGTAGGATTTAGAAAGTTGAATAAATTTAATATGATTTTTAGATATATAAGTGGTTAATTACTTTTTGTTTACACAAATTTATTATGAAGAGATCCATGAAAATGTCTATAATTAAAACATTTTTTTCTCAACCGTTAAAATTTTTATTCAACATAGTTACAAGATATAAATAAATATTACTAACATTCAAAATAGTGAAACAACAACTAAAAAATATAAATTTAAAACTAAAAGTCATAGTAAAATGAATTTCATAATTTCAAAAAAATTATACACTAACTAAATTGTAGTAGAAAAAAGTAGGTCTTTTTAAAATATTGTTTATAGTTGGTTACTGATTTCATGCAACAAGAGCGAATGTACCAACATTACAGAATACAGTACAACATAATAATGCACATATTTCCATAAAAAAATCGAAAATAGAAAAAGATACAAGGCCGGTTAAATTAGTACTAGGAAGAAGAGCAGTTCACTATCCAAAAATGAGAGCGCTATGTCTCAACGTTTCTCTATTCACAGCGACTCTTCCCAAAAATAACACTCCTCTTATCCACTCCTACTGTAACTGCTTTTCCACTTCCTTTCCCGGCGATAATGGCCGTTTCGGGCAACGAGTCACCACTACTCGCCGGAGAAACAGCAAGTCGGAGATTTTTCTCGGCGACGAAGAGGAAGTCCAAGCAGGAGAAAACGAGAAATTTTCCAGCATAGCTGAAGAAACATCTAGGGCTATGAGATTGAGGAGGTCTAAAGGTGTTGTAGACACAGAGGAGGAAGAAGAAGAGGACGATTCGTCGATGTTGCTATCTCTGAGTGTGAAACCAGACCGAAACATGGCTTTACTTGATGATTATGAAATGGAGGAGCTCGATTTTGTTCCTGAAAATCCTAATCATCGCAGTGGTTTGTTTTCTCATTTCCTTGTCACTTCTTTCTTCAAGACTCAATTTGATTAGACATTTCTGATACTTTAATATTAAAATTTAGATATTTAAAACTATACCAGGAATACTGTAAATTGCAATTTCGGTTATATCAAATTGATGAAACAAAATACCATCTTAAAGTACTGGACAAAATTCATATGTTTGACTCTCGAAAAGGAAATTGTGACAAGTATTTCGGGAAGGTTGGAGTATTGGATTATGCTATTGTTAGTAAAAAGAATAATTGGCACTTTTTGCTTCCGGATACTAAACTATGTGAATTTGAAAAGTATCTTAAATAGTCTTTTATAGTTACTACTCACTGTCCAGGAATGTTCCTCACTATTCGCTTCCCCGGATTCAAAATAATTGAATTTTGACCGAAAATTTAAAATATATATTCTCTTTATCATCTTCGACATTAGGACAATTGGAATTTGAAATATTTTTTCATGCAGTACCATTTTAATAGGCAAAGTGTATGTGTAGGTAAATGTATGTGAGTTTTATTTTTTAAAAAAGGGTTAATGTATGTGAAAGAAATTGAAATTAAGCAGAAAGTGTGTGTAAATGTAGGATATGTAGCTGTGCTTGGGAAGCCGAATGTTGGGAAAAGTACACTTTCCAATCAAATGGTTGGGCAGAAACTGTCAATTGTTACTGATAAACCTCAAACTACTCGTCATCGAGTTCTTGGAATATGTTCTGGTCCAGATCATCAGGTATGGAATGTTCTTCTACCACTATGTTTCTGCTGAGCTGCAACATGTCTCAGTTCATTTTATGTCCGCATACTTCTTGGCTGACTCATGATGTGAAAATGTGTCTTACACATTGCTTTGTAGCTGCAGAGCTTCTTTTCCGAGGAAAATTCTACTCTTATGCTGCAAGTATCTTAACTTTGTTGTAGTACTGCTAGAGTCAAATAATGATTGCAACATACGTTTCTTTTTTTGTGATTGCAATGGAAATTGTTTTTTTTTTAGTTGGGCCTAGTTTCTAAAAAAAAAAAAAAGATTTAGGAGTGATGGCTTGTTCACTTTATCTATCAACATAGCAGCAGCAAGATGGCGTCATCACCCTATACAAAATAAACTTAGGCTGACTCCTTTTATGTCTAGAAGGAGTCAAGCAAATCTAGAGTATCATCCAGGCATGATTCATCCTACACTAGAAGATATTTTGGATGATATATGATCCTCTTTGCCTTAATCCACAATGTCCAAAGTGTACACAGGGAAGTTCTCTAAACTAGTCTGTGTTTTCTCTATCATTTCTGCCTTCCACCTATGTAGTGCTTCTTTTAAGCTTCCAGGCATAATTCACCCTCAGTATATGTTCAAGAACATAGTCCATAGTTTTCAGATCTGGTTGCAGTGTAGGATAAGGTGATATACAGTCATTCTCAGGGGTGGAGCCAGGTAGGGCTAAGGGGTTCATGAACCCCCTTCAGCGGAAAAATAAATTGTTTATACATAGTTAAAATCATTCTTTATGTATATATAATAAATGTTGACCCCCTTTGGATTCTTTGTGCGTTTGCTTTTTCATATTTGGAACCTCTTGGTGAAAATAGCCGGACCACCACTGGTCACTCTTCATAAAAAAAACAATTCTTTTGCTTAGGCCATTGGTGCTTGAATATTGATAAGTTTTTATGCAGAATATTGTCTAGTGAACCCATTTTTCAGTGCCTAACACTTAACAGGTATCTGTTTATCAAAGTTACTATTACTCAATCTTCCAGCTCAGTTATGTTAATTTTGCTTGTACCTGTGAGAAGGGTGGCAAGCAGGCTGTTCTTTTTGATAGAAATTTTTGTTTCTTTGAATTTTTATTATTGCCAGAAATAGGAAGAGTTCTTATTTTTGACCTTCTGGTTTTCCTCACCTTGCCTGTGCAGCTGTTATCTGTTATTGTATTAATCAATTAATTCTTATTACTTTAGCATACTTCACTATTTCACACAGTCTGCAGTTTATCATATGTTATTAATATGCAATCCTTTTCTAGTTATTGCAATTTGCTATCCCATATCTGCTCCCTAGACTTCAATCTTTTTTGCACATATGTTATCACCTGTCTCAGACTCATGAGTGATGCCTGGGCGTTCCCTTGCAGATGATACTTTATGACACTCCCGGTGTCATAGAGAAGAAAATGCATAAGCTAGATACAATGATGATGAAGAATGTCCGAAGTGCAGCTGTTAATGCAGACTGCGTGCTTGTTGTTGTGGACGCATGTAAGGTTCCTGCAAAGGTATGGTTCTTTATTATAAAGAGCCATTGGGAAATGTTTTTATCCTTTAACTTTTTCTAATTGCTTCTTTCAGATAGATGAAGTGTTGGAAGAGGGTGTTGGAGACCTAAAGTATAAAGTACCAACATTGTTAGTCTTGAATAAGAAGGACCTAATCAAGCCTGGTGAAATTGCAAAGAGACTTGAGGTAAGGTACTGCTGATTGTGAGATCATTTATTGTGCAAGTCCTACAAAGAGCCTCCACTTATTCTAGTCAGACAAAGTATAAGCGATTTGAGTCAACTAATTTAATTTCTCTGTAGAATCTATCAACTACTTGGCAATGGCTATTATCATTGGAATTGAAATAATTTGCTAATTGATTACCTTATCCAAAAGAAAAGAAAGAAAATTTTGCGTTTTGGAGTACCATTTTAACCGTAGTAATATATTGATGTTAAAGTGCTAGAGGTAGATCTATTCTTATAGCCTATAATGGTCACATAAAACACAGATTTAGCCTGATGACAAAATTATGAATTTGAGACATATAAGAATAGCTGTTGAACTTATTTAGATTGGATATTTTATTGATGAACTTAATTAGTCAAATAGTTTAGATGTTCTGATGCTACGTTTTCTCCCATTCAGTGGTACGAGAAATTTACGGACGTTGATGAGGTCATACCTGTAAGTGCGAAGTATGGTCATGGAGTAGAAGATGTCAAAGACTGGATATTATCTAAACTTCCTCTTGGGCCTGCTTATTATCCCAAGGTGTAGATATATACTCTGTCTCGATATTCCATTACCTCTATTCACTGTCTTCTTTCTTGAAAATGAGGAAAAATTCATTGTAGTCATCTTCAACTTTGATCTGTATGATTTTGGTGGCATTTAACCTTGTCGAGAGCTGTTGGTGTCAACGACTCAATTTTGGGCATTAGACAAATGGCATCTATGTTGCACTAGATAATTGCTTTCAAAAATGTTGTTAGATTGCATCCCTCGCTCTCCATGCAACTATGTTGCCAATACTGCCAAAAATTTCTATATGTAACTTTGATTCCATCTCGTGTTTTTATATATTTCTTTTGAACTTGTTTTTTAAATTGAAAACTATGATATGTATGCCATCTGGAAGTGATATACAACTGATACACTTCCATTATGTTTGTATTTTTAACTCTATAAATATTCAAAATCAGCATTGATGCATACATAAATTACACCTTAAATTAATTTGATCAATGTGCAATTTCAAGTCTGTTGTCTATAACACATCAAGCTCAAGGTCAATCATGTCTTTGAATAGGTAGAGGGTAGTATGGAATCCACCCATCTGTATTGAGCGAGGGGGCTTGGAGTTGGGTAGCAGAGGGAGAAAGAAATACCTTATTTAGTTTGTGCCCTATTAAGATAATGCAACCTGCAGGAGTTGCAATAAAGTAGGAGAAAAGTTGATTATTCTAAGGTCTACATAAAGAAAGAGAAGAAGAAAGAAATGATTGCTATATACTATTATATACCTTCTAGATGAATCGTTCCTTTGGTATCAGGGATGTCAGAATAGTGTAGCATGGACACTGAGGAAGTATGAGGATAAAAGTATATTAAGCCAGCAGTTTCCAGTCTATAGCTGCTATTTATCTTCACATATATTAGTGGACATTATCTTTGATTTGATTTTCCATAAATGATCCTCTTTTTCCATGTTTTGCTTAGAGATATGGAAGAGATTTTCTTTATTCCCAGGGTAGGGTAGATTAAGGTCTTACTCCTAAACCTGGGAGTAAGACTCTATTTTCCTCATATGCTTCACAAGTAACTGCAGTCTGCATAGATTTTCTTGCTGCTGTTATCTTGCATATACAACATTATGTCAAATGAGTTTGCTTAATGCGTTAAAGTCTTGTAGCAATATAATCTTTATCCTCCTATAGGCTATAATGATGTTTAGTAATTGCCAAGGTTAATTAACAAGCCCATCTCATCTTTGCTTTCAGGACATTGCTAGTGAGCATCCTGAAAGATTTTTTGTGGCTGAAATTGTCAGAGAGAAGATATTTCTGCAATACCGAAATGAAGTTCCTTATGCATGCCAGGTAAAAATGTGTTTGAGAACTTCAAGTTGATTGCGGAATAATATTTGCTTTTTTAGTTTTCCTTTAGGAGTTTACTTCATCATTTTTCAGTTTTCCTCTAAATCTGCCACATACTCTGCAGGTTAATGTAGTTAGTTACAAGACTAGACCGAATGCGAAAGACTTCATTCAAGTCGAAGTTATAGTGGAGAGAAACACTCAAAAGATCATCCTTATTGGAAAGGTAACAACCATCAGTTTGTTTCTGTATGTCATCTGTGTTTGTTATTTTTAGATATGCTTTATAACAAAGAAAGACCATCCTTTTTCTTTATGTTATATTAGATTCATCCTTCTTTTTATAAGCGCAGTAGACGTTCCAACTCTGTAACTTATGTGTACTGTAAATAAGCAGTGTCCCACCTTCACCCTCTCCTTGGCCTTCCATCCTGCCTAGGTGCTTTCACATATGTGATCGAGCTAATCAAGTTTTGGAAACCCCTTTCCCAGACTTGTAATTCCAGATTAAAGTCCACGTATTAACTCCAGAAAATGGTTGCACATGTGAGAGAGTGTTTAGATATACAGTGTCCTATATCGGGTATTAAAGGGCATTTAAAGGGGGCTCACGCCAGTATCTTGTATTACATGTCTCTTGATTTGTTTTCAGGAAGGGAAGGCTTTAAAGCTTCTTGCCACAGCTGCAAGGCTTGACATAGAAGATTTCCTACAAAAGAAAGTTTTTCTGGAGGTAATTCTCATGATAATCTGTCTTCACAATGAATTCCATAGGGTATTTGTGTACTCTTACATCAGTACTTCGAACTAACGCGCTGCGTTCTTATGTTGTGATACTTAAAATTAATGTGCTGCAGCTGCTTCTTCCTACTTCCAGCTGACACAATTTTGCCTAGGTATAACTTTTGAGATACTTAGCTGGAAAAAGTGATTCTCATGTTAATTTTTTGTTGAAACAGGTTGAGGTGAAGGTGAAAGAGAATTGGAGGCAAGATGAAGGTCTCCTGAAGGACTACGGCTACGGGGGCCATATTCAAGCTTTGTGATTTGGAAACTCTGTTTTGAACTCTTAATGGATGGAATGTGAATGATGATCAGTAGCTCTTGATGCTCTCCATGATGAACTAGCTGTAATTTCTATAAATGTTTCCCAAAGTACAGCAGGCTAATTAAGCAGACGGGATTTTGTGAAAGTTCTTGATGTCAGGATCAGGTACAAGAAATATCCTTGCGGAGAGATCATGATGTAAATGCACCAGATCTCATCTCAGCTGCCAATCTCATTTCTGATTAATGTAGTTGTCCCTTGAGGGATGCCGTTGAAGGGAGGAAGAACTTGACAGAAGATGCAGGTGGCTGCCTGCTCAGCAAGTAAACCTTACACGTTCGTTCTGTCTTTACTACTCAACTGTCTAACTAATATTGCAATGTTAAGACATTCTGATGTACTAATTGCTGCTGTTAATTGGAAAAAGTAGAGAGACGTGTATTGCTTCAAATTCTGGCGGGAACTGATTCATATCACTGCAAGACATGTTTTTGTGCACAAATTATTTTGTAAATTTTATTTGCAGTAGAGATTTTTGTAGGAAGTAGTCTTCAGCTGTCACTGGATCGGTACATTGTCTTTCACATTTCCAAAGTTTTATACTGGTGTGTGAATTTAATTATTGTATCTTTGACATTTTCAATCTTTTATGCTGCTGTAATTGTTTATTCTAGGCTCAACTATTGAGAGCCACTTCGAGTAGAGGCAGTGTTGAGCATGATCTAGGTCTACATGTTATAAAACACAATCCAAGAGGGGTTACAAGCTGACCTGCTGGTGTAGTAAGTGTACCAATCAGTGACATAGTCAGAAATTTCTTTTAGGGTAGCCGAATTTTTTTTTATATAGATATTTTTTTTAGAGGAAATGTATAAGTACGCTTTCAACCTACATTTATACTTTCCGAACTTATTTTATAAATAATTTTTTACCCCTTTTCGACCATGTGACACTATCTTCTGGGCTCAGCGCGTGTTGACAATTCTTTTAAGTTATCTGATTGATAGTGTCACGCAAGTCAAAAAGTGGTAGAAAATTATTTCTAAAATAAGTCAAGGGGTAATAGCATCTTAATATAGTATAATTGTGTCTTTGGGATTTCGAGCATAGGTTGCGAGAACTTATGCATTTTTTTTATAATTATAATTAAAAGTAATTTTTCTTTTTTTTTAATTACAATTAAAAGTAACTTTGACCTAACTGATGTACGGAGGGATGTCAATGGAACTTGTTTATTGCTCCCTATCTTGATATGCAGATGGAAAGGGTAATCGAACATGTAGTTGATGATATGGTTCTTTTTGGAGTCAAAATTCGAGTCTCTTTATCATAACACATTAGAAATCTTTAATCTCACATGCAAAATAAAATATTATTATGTCACTTCAACTTTATCTTATGCTGTTGAGATCAAAGTGTTAAAAAGGTTCCATAACCCACAGCCGTTGTACGTTGGTCATCTTATCACTTGTTGTGCATCACCAGCTAGAATTCGAAGAAAATTTCATATCTGGACTTCAACAGAGTAGTATTTATTCCTACATATTTTGAATTATTATAGTACAGTAGTACTGATGACGTAAATACTGATGATATTGGCATCCTAAGGTCATTCTTACATATGTACTACGTAATTAGAGTAATAGGTGAGAATTGAGACAGTAAAATGTCACATGTGTTTTTCTATTTAATTTTTTTTTAAAACAAGAGTTAAATTCTGGTATCTAACAATCGTGGAAAACATATATTGAATATAATGGAAAATTATTTCAAGTCTCTTCAACTACATTTTATGGTGTTAAGATGCCAAGTGTTGAGGAATAGGATTCCATAAACCAATGTTATTGGATATTGCCACACGCTTTATCAAATATATTAGAATAATAAGATACTAAAGTATATAGATGCCAGTTCCAAAATGCCAATCTTGTTAAATAAGGATCAATTGAACAACTAGTTCCATGATCAATAAAAAACAAGATAAATTTTCTTTTTTTTTAATCAATATTAAGTCCATTTTCTGCATGATAGATGACTGTTTGGCTTTCTGGTGTGAGTAGTAAAGAGTTTAAATAGTATAAAGAAAAACTTTATTACATTATCAGATCAGCCTAAGATATATGTTTTCTGATAAGTTTCCTCAACACATGGATTTTTAATCTTGAAAAATATATAAGACAAATTACATGCTAAAAGAACTAAAAATGACCTGTTTTCAAGCAAAACTCCCACTATTAAAAAAGTATCATTGTGGGAACAAGACTGTCAATATTAAAAAAAAAAATACCCTTATCTTTCATGCAGAACTTTCACTATTATAAGTACCACTTGTCTTCTTTCTTTTTTTTTGCAAAATGTCATCTATAAAAGTACCTTTGTCTAAATTTGGAATTCATTTTATAATATCCTAACTCATAGAGTAGAGTTATAGCTTGTACTTTGGTAGTGATGCCAAGCCTTTCAAATTCACTATGCTTTATCACATTTATTCTTCTACTTGGAAAGGTCCAGTGCAGGGTTCTAAAGCTAAATTCTTTAGATAATAACCAATTATTGAATATCTCATATGGGATTGATCAAGTTAGTAACAATCAAGAACATGGACCACCTTTGGTTTCTTCTTCTGGCAAAACATGTGAGCAGGTTTACGGTGTTTTTCCGTGTGCAAACAACATTGCAGGATACATTTTCTTGATAGTAGTGTGCCAGTACTTGTTGAATACAGGGGAAAGCCTAATATCAAGAGGAAGCAAGACTCTATTCAATATTCTTGGCACTGGCATTTTTGGGGCCACTGTTTTTCAAATCTTAATGACTTTGCCAAGGATTGTCATGGTCATTGGTAATTAGTCTATTGCCTAGCTATCATTTTTTCTGTCTCACTTTAATTTTAACTGCTTAAGATAGTAATAACCTGGAATATAACTCGTTAAGATCAAGCACTTACTGTGATGCCCAAAGCTATAACTGATAACAAGAGTTCTACCATGATTCTGACCCGAGCCATTCCCAATAGTATCAAGCTTATCACAAAGCTTAGCTTGTTTTCTCAATGAACTTTGGTACTTATTAGTTTCTTGTCTCCTATTTGAATGAAATTACACTAGATGAATAGTTATTCACTATACGAATATTATTTATTTGAATATCTTATTTTACATCAGAAGAAGCATGGTTCCAATCAGCTACTTAATTAAGACACACACAGGTGTTCAACGTAGAGTTCGTTAGTCCCCTCTCCTTCAGAAAGTGGTCAAAGACATTTCAGTGAATCAACATAAACGAGTTGTTAGCAAGGCAAAGGAATTGACAATTCAGGAGATCTTTTAGAGAATTCCTATAATGAAATTCCTCTTATGCGATATCCCAACTAGTACCGGTCTAACTAAGACATGTAATTAGGCCAGTTTGCTGAGAGTAAGCAACTGCTAAATGAGAGGGTTAAGAAAAAGCAAGATTCATATTCTAAAATTGAAAAATCATCAATTGGAGAATTATTTTTACATGGTAGACACGGTGAAGGTAAAATGGAAATAGAAATTAAGCAACATGAACAAAATGGACTGATATTAATGTTACTCTACTTTTGTAGCATCTGGAGTTTCTGCTAGTAAAGAGAAAGCTCAGTTTCAAATCTCTTCTGGAATTAGCACTACTGTTGGAGCCACAGTATTCAATCTTACTTTGATGTGGGGAATATGTTTGATATGTGGCACCAAAAATATGACAGATAAACCAGATTCCCAATCTGAAGAATCTTCACCTTTCAAAAGGTTGAAGAGCTTACAAGGTATTTCATTCTTTCGTTCACATTCTTGAATTTAAGTTGCTGATATGTTCTATTTATATAGTATATGTGTTACAGATACTGGTGTTAGGATTGACAAGGAAACTAGTTACACTGCTGGAATTATGCTCCTTTCCTTGATCCCATTTGTACTAGTTCAGCCAGTCACTGCTCTCAACTCATTCGTTGGAAGGCGTATTCTTATTTTCATCACACTTATAGTATCACTCATTCTTTTGGTGTCATACTTCCTTTACCAGGTAATCAAAATTTCGAATGTCCGTATGCTGAGATGGAAACTGAATTTAGAGTCAGTGGGTTAATTTAGCAATGGATGTTAGTTTATTTCTTTTACCACATGCTGGATCCACCTCTGTTCATATGTTGTTAACAAATTATGTACTAATGAATGTATCCTAGTTGAAGGCCTTGGATTCGTGTATCGTTCTTAATTTCTGAATTTATTCATCAGGTTTTGGACCCGTGGATGCAAGAAAGAAGTTTAGAGTACTCCAAATATGAGAATCTGCTAGCAGGATTTCTGCATCATGTACAACGGCATGCAAGAGGGAAGCTCATTAATGAAGAAGGGCAACCTGATATAGATGTCATTAAAAGGTAGATAGATATTAGAAAAAGAAAGATAATCTCTTAAGAAGTGAAGCTAACAAAACTATAAGACTGATAAGTAACCTTTTTGTTTTTTTCAGATTATTCCATGAAACTGATAGAGATGCCGACAAATGCCTAACACTTACTGAATTGGAGAATCTTATACTTGAAATGCAATCGGGGAAGGTTGTCGAGGTGGACAAGGATTATGCTATTTCTAAGATATTGAATTCTTTTGACAAAAACAACGACAAAGTAATCCAGGAAGAAGAGTTTGTTGAAGGATGCAAAAAATGGATCGAAGAAGCAGCACAGTTAGCTCAAAGTGATGATTCAAGTACTAAAAAGATTTTACGCAAGGCAAGTGAACTCTTACTTATAGTTAAGTTCAATTCATATTGAGGAAATGAAATACTTGTTGCTTCAAGCATAATTCCTCAACAGGCTGTTGAGAAATATACTAAGAAGCAAAGGGATGAAATTGCCGAAATTGAGCATATAATGGCAAGACTTTTGAAGCATGTTCAAACTCAAGCATTAGAAGCTGAACACCTTGTCAAAGATGATGGAACCCCCAACATCGAACGTATTAGAGAGTAAGTTACTCTTATAAATTTAAGAGTACATACTGACAGTGTAAGAATTCATTATACTATTTGTATTACATCCAAAGATAAAAGTCTTAGACCTTTCTATTCCTACTCATTTCTGTTTACATTGTGGCAGGATCTTCCATCAGTATGACTTTGACGGGAACAACGCCATAACAAAACCTGAATTAGAGGAACTAATAGGTTCAGTGAAATTCGGAGAAGTTGAAATCAATCACGAAGACACTGTCAAGAAAGTGTTGAGGGATTTTGATAGAAATGGTAATGATATGATCGATGAAGATGAATTTGTCCATGGGATGACAAGATGGCTGAATGAGGCCATTAGTGTGACTAAATGTCCTGACAAGAAAAGGGCAATTGATGAATATGACAAGGTAAAGTATCTAGCATTGCTCTATACAAATGTATCTAAACACAAAAGCTTATCACAGTTGACAAATCTCAGCACTATATGTGGCTTTGTTTCGTAGATTAAGTGGAGTGAAGTTGACAAAATAGTGTATGAGGTGGAAAGTGATGGAGAGATCAACTATAAGTTGTTGACATGGACATTTAACAAATCTGTGCTTCAAGTTCTGTTGGGGATTGCAATAATGACATTATGTGCAAAACCTTTAGTGATCAGTATAGAAGATTTATCAGATGCTATGGGGATTCCTTCTTTCCTTATCCCTTTTGTTATGGTACCTCTAGCTCTAAATGCAAGAATGGCAATAGCAGCAATATTTCCAGCAAGTCAGAAGAGTTCAATAACTGCATCTTTGACATTCTCAGAGGTTTAACTCTCTCTCTCTCTCTCTCACACACACACAGTGATTTGTTCAAACATTTCATTATGTTTGTAGTACCTTTGTATTGTTTATGTACTCCCTTCGTTTTAACTTAAGTATCTTAGTTTGACTAAACACAAAGTTAGACTTTTAAATCTTATAGTGTTAAACTAAAAATAAGTGTAGTGTCCCAAGATGTTCTTTGAATTTTTGATTTCAAACAAGTCATGAAAAATGTTGGGTTCAAAAAGTTATCAAATATAGAAAGAGACCGTTCTTTTTAAAACTTACTAGTTGAAGTGTGATAGATTTGTGGTCTCCTTATATGAACTTGAGCAATCCTCCCCTCATGAGCTAGCTTTTAGGGTTGAGTTAGACTCAAGTGTCATATCTTAATATGATATCAGAGTCAGGTCCATCCCCGTTTGGACTCACGGTCCACGCTCCAATTGGAGCCTGTACGTGAAGCGGGTGTTAGAGTGAAGTCCTACATTGTCGGAGAGTGGACTAGTGGTCTCCTTGTATGGACTTGGACAATCCTCCCCTCATGAGCTAATTTTTGAAGTTGAATTAGGCCTACGTACCATATTTTTACAATATTAAAATGAAAAGTAAGATTGATAGAAATGAAGGGAGTAATTTTTTGAAGTTTGATTGTTCTTTAAGAGTGTGACTGTTGATTGACAGATATATGGAGGAGTGATTATGAACAACATCATGGGGATGGCAACACTTTTGGCAGTGGTGTGTATAAAGGACCTAAGATGGGATTATTCAGCTGAAGTGCTAATAATTTTGGTGGTTTGCTCTGTAATTGGCCTTCTTGCATTTTTCAGCACCACATATCCACTTTGGACTTGTCTCGTAGCATTTTCTCTATACCCTTTCTCTGTGGTGCTATTTTACCTTCTTGAATGTGTCTTTGGTTGGGCCTAATGATGATAATCATAATAACTACCCAACCCAAACCCATTCATGAAAACTTGTAAAAGGTTTTGAATAAAAAAAAAAGAGGAAATAATCATGTTATATTATTTTCATGAATTTTCTATTATTTGGTGTATTTGATTAGATTTTATGAATTGTCATGTTTGAAGCTAGAATAAGACGTGGGGCTAGAGAATTAAGAGAAAGAAGGAATTGTTTCGCTAAAACAGTTTAAAGATATTTTTGATATGGTGTGATATTGTTTGTTTTAACCTAAATCCGTAACATTTTTAAATTTTTCATTAAAAATCTTATACGTAACTCTTTTTATTTTCAAGTATCAATGTAAAACTTTATTTCCGGGAATTAAATAGTAACCACGCCTATGAGAAAGCAAATAATATATATTCAAATGATTAATGAATAATTACCAGACCTATTGCAAGTAAATAAACTGACGCAAGTTCTACAAAATGCTTAGAGTTCAATCATAGAGATTTTATTTTATTATAGAAAAAGGTACTTTATTTACAAACATGGTCCCGTAGCTCAGTTGGTTAGAGCGTTGGTCTTATGAGCCGAAGGTCGCGGGTTCGAGCCCCGCCGGGACCAACTTGTAATTATCTTCCCATTTTTTCCGCTGCGGAACATTAATTTTAATTTAGGACCTTTGACTCGGATCTCCAACTTATTCCTTATAGGACCCAATGCACCTAACATCAATATTTATTATCATTTTCCTCTATAATTTTTTTAGTACTTCACAATTACATTATTAGACAACTCAACTATAATAAACAATGATCACCATAAATATTCAACAACTAACCCATAATGTCAACATATATTAAAATTATGTAAAGATGATTATGTACTTGGTTGATGATTCATTGATTCTATTCACGTTTTGGAATTAGATTATAAACTTTAATGATAATTGGGACCACAATAATACATGCAAAAGACATAATACATACCTATATTTTCTAAAAGTATTTGTCCTATGTATTTTCTTAATAAAAATTTTCCATCTTCACCTTACCATATGTAGTAAAGGAAGGATAAAGAAAAAATTAGTCAATCACACCACCAGATTCAAATTCAATAGAGGATTCTTAATTCTAAAGTTTGCATAATTATTAATAATATTTGTTTGTCATATCCTCAATCATTGTGCCATGAAAAAGAAGGAAGACAAACAAGTGAAACAACAACATAAGTTTTTTTTTCTTTTTAAATTAAGCTGGCATTTGAATTGTTGGAGTTTGCACACTTAGTTATTGAGTTTTTTTTTTTCTAAAAAAAATAATGTTTGTTTGAGCAAAAAAAAAAATACTCCCTCCGTTTCAATAGAATGACCCCATTTTCTTTGTAGTTTGTTTCAAAAAGAACAATTCCATTCTTTTTTTTTGCAAAACTTTATCTTTAATTTTCCACGTGGCATGTTTAAGATCGTTAGATTAAAGGATATTTTGATACATTTGATATAACTTTAAATTAGAACCACAAAATTAAAAAGTTTACTTTTTTTTCTTAAACTCCGTTCCACGTCAAACTAGACCAATCTTTTTGAAACGGAGGGAGTAGATAATTAGAAGTGAGTTATGTCATTCCATTTATGATTTGGCTCAAACAAACATTATTTGTAAGAAAAAAGGAATAATTTTCCTAAAAAAATTAGTTTATAAGGTTATATATCAATCACTAAAAGTTCTGGTTAAAGTCGGATTCAAAATTAAAATTTATGTGTTTCTATAATCAGCGGTGGAGTCAAAAATTTCTTAAAGGGTGTCCAAAAATAGCTACTTGTCAAATTAAAGGTGTCCAAAATATATTATTTAATCATTTTGTTATCATTTTACTTATATATATACTATTTTTTAAATGATTAGACACCCTTGACACTATGTCACTACTCGACTGTGTACAATAATCACATCATAATGATTAATGTTACTAGATCATTTATATATATTTAGTAAATTTCTTAAATACATGTACATACTTAACTAAAAGTTATCAGGCGTGATCAAGTCTGGTGTGTGGTAAGTAGTTCGTTTTTCTTAATCCAAAACTTGGAGTATGTGACTTCTATGCCAGTTTTTTTTTTTTTTCTCTTTAGAAAATGCCAGACAAACTCTGCCATAAACAATTGCCCATATTTTAGTGCTAATCAGGATGATAACTATGGTTGTTGTGCTGTCCCTACAGCAGCAGTTTATTGACTAAAGAACAAATAATCTTGATTGGGATGCCTTTGATTTTGAACAGACATCCCCATTATTCTAATCCAATTTTAAACAGAATACATTTATTGCTCCTTTTTAATCCAACAAATGTACATCTGATTCAACTTCTTGTGGAAAATATACTCAACTACTTCTAATCATGGGGCCATGCCAAATTATCAGTATTCCACACAACAACAATCAAATTGTACCAACTTTTTTTTTTATTTCTTTTAATATCATCTTTCTCAAGTATTTCTTCTCTTCTACTCATCCTATTTTTTCCCACTGCCATCACTACTCTGTCACTTGGGTTTTCTTCTTTTTATTCTGTTTTTACTTTGCATTTTGGAAATACCCATTTGCTAGAAACAGCTTACAAAAGTAAAGGGTTTTATCTCTGGTATGCTTCCCTGTAGCCATAATTTTTGTGTACTCTGTTCTGTGTTTCAAGTTTACATTTTTATTTGTTTTTCTTAGTCTATGGTGGAAATATGTTTATGGGTGCTATTTATTTTCTCGAAATTTCATATAGAATACAGAATCTGTCTGCTTGATAGGAAAAAGCAATCAAAAGATGTCATCTTGATTGACTATTGGTTTATTCATATTGTTTTTGTGACTAAATGTGTTAGAAGATTTTAATATTTGGTAGTAGAAGTCAAATTAGGAGATGATATGGATACAATGTCTCTACTTCTATCCTTCCCACTTGTAGGATTGCACTGGATATGTTGTTGTTGGTAAATATTGAGTTTTTCTCTTGTACACCACCATAGAATAAATGGATGAATTATAGATCAGTGGTATCCATACCTAGATCATGAATAAGTAATAATTAGCTATGTGTATTTGAATTGTTTAAATTTCTCTAAGTGACTTCCTGTTGCTCTTCATTCATAATTGATTATATAGAAGACTAATTTGAAGTAAATGGTTTAGCATGTTCTTTCTTATTCTGACTAAACCAAGCAGGTTTAATGCCAGTATAATGGATATTTACAGTTATAGCGGTTTGACCGAAGCTCGTGTGCTTAGGGTGTAAACTGACGCTACATTTTGTTCATTGAACATTAGAAAGTTGTGCATGATCGGAAATTGTGATAGGTTGTCAGGGTTAATCTTTTGGATCATGCAATTATGCTTCATAATACCTAGCATAAGGGGATCCAAACTAGTTGTTGACTTGTTTATGTAAGAGCTTTATTAAGCAGTGCCTAATGTCTCAGGGGTAAAATATGTAAAATGTTAGATAATTTTCTGGTGAGGGCGGGAATTGGTTGCTTTCTAAATGATTTGTAAATGAAAATGTATATCAGTTGGAAATTCGGGGAGAACTGTTTATTTCTTTGCTCAGATGAAGTTCTTTTTTGTAATAATAAGTAATTCCTGATTTAGTCAAGCAGCTAGGCTGTGTGAACTTCTTTTAACAAGTCGTTTGAATGCGTATGTGAGTATACAGGAGTAGCTTTTTTGGAACCAGGACATCATTATTTCATTCTCATTTTCTGACTGTTTGTATTTAGTTATTCCACTTGCAGTTTAACAGTGCCTTGAGTATTAGTAAGCACTTATATCTTGTTATGGTAACATAACCAAATCTTGGCAGAGTTTATTCCAGATACTTGCCTTAGGTAGTTGCAGTTCACCTAAAGATTTCAAAGTAATGTATTCACAAATATAATGGACTGAAATGATCGCACATTGTCCTCTATAGAGTTGTAGCCAACCAAAATTTCTCACCTCCCTGCAGACCACCAGTGAGAAATGTGAAGTTAACAGGGAAAAACAATTAAGAATTTGGGGCTGCCTGTAAATTAACTCAGATACATTTAAAAGACTATCATCAAGTCTTTAAAGGAAACAGAAATTTAATTTAAATTAATTTAATCATCTGTTAGACAGTGTGAAATTTCCGACAATTAGACTTGTAGGCCATTGTCTTTTGTGTGCTTCATTCTTTATCTGTTACGTAGTGTGTTACTTCTCTCTTATTCTTTTGTATGGGTGAAAGGACTTCTTGTTGTCAATTTGATCAGTTGAAAGAACATTTTCATGGATGATGCAACCATTTGAAATATCCACTTAACATTTCACCCTCTGATGCAAATGAATTGAAGAGTTTAGCATATGTAAAATAATTTCAATCTGGATATTTTCATAACTAATACCGTTCCATGTTCCATTTGTTGTGAGCTGCAGCCGAGTAAGATATATATATATAACAAGCACCTGCAATGGGTTCTGCAGACTGGCTTAAGAATGTAATCGGTATGAGAAAAGCAAAGGATGGGAGATCGAAAAAAAATAAGGTAAGCTGTCATAGTTGTCTCATTAGTTCAAGACAGCCCATTTATTCCATATTTTTATTATAAATTTCGGAATCAGCAGTACTTTATAAGATCAATTGGATTCATATTTTTAGTTTGAAACAGGGAACATCAGCAAATAAAAAGTCTAATGGATGCAAAGGGCATAATCCCCTGCAGAAAGAGCCTTCTAAAATAACCAATATTGTCTTGATCAAGAACCAGAGGGAAATGGGAATACCTATTGAAGATAGAGCAGCTATTAAGATTCAGACAGCATTCCGCGCTTATTTGGTAAAAGCATATCATCCAACTATTATTTATAATAAGTAGCATATAGATGCTTTTGTGATTTATTCTTCTCGCCACTAGATATTTCTTGTGCGACTTTTCTTCTGATAACTTCTCTTGACACACTGATATTTCTGTTACAGAGTGATATGAACCTTCCTTTGTGTTACTGTCCCGATCATCAGACATACACTTACAAATATAGGACACTAATTAACCAATTAAAGAAGCACGTAGCATAATATCATTTTTATGTATCTGAAACATCCTAATTGTTCAATGCTCACTACCTTTTGTTATTACTCTTACAGAAGATTATAAGTAACATATTTCCCATCAAATCATTTGTATCATGCTATAAAGTAGAATCACAGTCTCTCTGAAAGAGGAGAGGTAACGTATCAAGCATAATGGTTTCGGTATCTTTTCTGTAATGCCACTGGACTTGTTTGATCACTCCTAAATCCTTGAATATTACTTGAAATAAAATATTTTATATCCTTCCAGTGTGACTTATTGTTTATTTAGTGCAAAGCGAACCAATGATGTCAGATGAGCATTTCTATAACCTCAAAATATGCAGTTTGAGAGACCTATTAGGATGGAATTGCTACGTAAAAAACTGATGTATATGTTTGAATTCTTTTCTCTAAATGTAAAGGTCTATGTCGAACTTTTAGACCAAAGATCCATTTAGTCAGCTGATAAATTATACTCCCTCAGTTTCGCTTTGTTTGACATAGTTCGGCTTGGCACAAAGTTTTCTATATAAATCCTCAATAACCATGTTACTCCATTTAAACTCATCTCACGCCAATATTATTTTTCAAACCTTCGAAACCAAAAGAAACCAATTCTGATTAATCAGGAAACCTCTACTTCACTGATGTAATATTGAAAACTTCTGAATGATCATGGTAAGGAAGTTGTTAAAATAATCATGTGCAGAATTGATGCTCAGGTGCTGTTGTTCCAGGTTACTCATTTTCTCTTATCTTACAAGACAATATTGGTTTTACTATTGTCTGAATCACCCAAAGGAAGTGCTTCAACTCTTGTTTTTAGATTGATAGAATTTTCTCCATTTGCAGGCTAGAAAAACTTTACGTCGATTAAAAGGACATACAAGGTTACAATCCCTGACACAACGTCCTTCAGTGAAAAAACAAGCTTCATCAGCTTTGAACTATATCTGTTCATGGAACACCATGCAAAATGAGATAAGAGCTCGTCGTGTCCACATGGTAATGGAAGGGCATCTTAAGAGGAAGAAGCACGAGAATCAATTGAAGCTAGAGACAAAGCTTCAAAACATAGAGGTTAGTTGGTGACATTTTTATGCCCATTAATTGTTATCCTACTAGCTTTTCTCCAGAGCCTTTGAAGCTTTTAAATCAGTATTTGCTTTCTCTTTCTGCTATCAATAGATTTTCTTGCCTGGATCATTCAACTAAATTATCATTTCTGTTAACCCTATGTAAATGATCCATTAGAGAAGATCCTCTTTGGTGGCAAGATAAATAAAAATAAGTTTCTACTATTAGAAGGAATGTGTGGAAATCCGTTAATAGAATTCAGATATCCAAACTCACTGAGTCAAAACGAAAGCTCCAGTTTGCTGCATTTTCTTCCATAGGATTATAATTCATGATGCTAAACCCTCGTAAGCTTATGCCTTTGATTTTACAGAAATTAAGCTATAAACTTCTCGAGCAAGAACTTTTCAACAAACTCTCTGCTTTAACTGCATTTTGTTTATCTTTTTTGTATTCCAATCAGAGGAGCTCATGACAGTTTCTATGTCTTATGATGCCTTCTCACTTGACAAAGATTACGAATTATGCTCTATTTGGGACTAAGGCGTAGTAGTTGTTCTCTCGAGCAAAAAGTATAAACTAGAAGCCAAACTAAATACTTGCACAAACCCATATTTATATTGCTTTCTCTAGTTGTGTTTGACATATCTTGTCCATGGTGCAATTTCGTATCCTACCTAGCTATATTATTTCTTGCTAACATTAGTGAACGGCTGACAGATAGAATGGAGTGGTGGCCCCGAAACAATGGAAGTTATTCTAGCAAGGATTCACCAGAGAGAAGAAGCAGCTGTTAAACGCGAACGAGCTATGGCCTATGCATTTTCTCATCAGGTATATTAAACTGGATGACAATCTTCAGCTTGTTTATACTGCCATTACAGAACAGGAATTCCTACTGAAATAATATGATGTTACAGTGGAGGGCCAATTCCAACCCAGTATTTGGTTCTGGAAATAATGAAATGAACAAAGCTAATTGGGGCTGGAGCTGGAAGGATCGGTGGGTTGCTGCTCGACCATGGGAAAGCCGAGCTCTTGTTCATGCAAGTCCAAAGAAAGTCAACGACAAAGCAAACAAGAACACTAAAAGTACTACAAGCCCGATAAAGAAAACACCAGTTTCTGTTATATTAACTTCTCTCAATGGGAAAGGCACTATAAAGGCTAAAAAGTCCAATGAAGTAGCTGCACAAAAAGTGATGAGCAACGAAGTTAAGGAGACCAGCAGTGAAAAACAATAGATGGTAATCGAAGCTTACTGAAAATACGAAGCCTAGACATTTCGGGTTATGCATTTTGCTGGTGATGAAGGTGAAAAAAAACTTGTAAGTTATAATCACTGGACTGAGAGTTTGTCATTGTGTTCTTTATATTTCCAAATTCTTCTCTTCATATGTTTATCTGAGATGATAAGTTATTCATAGGTTAACATGTGTGTAGATATCACGTCTCATTCAAGAGAATTTATATTATAGCTTGGCGTGCTCAGAAAATTCTGTTCCTTTTATCTATTTATCGTTTAATTTAATGAGTAGCATATAGCAAAAAACTCTGCATCTAATTTGCAGTCCGGAGCCAAAAAGGCCTACTTTTTTTTTTGTATACAATGTCTGTCGTGTCTATTTTGATGTCGGGCTCTCTATTTTGCGTAGTTGAAGCAACAGTTTTTCACTTTATGAACATTAAATACATGTGAAAGATGATGAAAAAGTAATGGGCCGTATCTTACAAATACTTGAAAATTCAAAAGAAAATGCATGCCTAAAAAGATAAAATGAAGCAACTGAAATACGGCGTGGGTTCTGAATTCTGTTTCTAATTCATCTAGTTAACCTTTATATGCATGCCTAAAAAGATACTATGAAGCAACTTAACTATGAGAATTAATTATTTGCCTTGTTTCCTTTTATTTTCCGTCTTTTTTTGCCTAATAGCAATTATCTCCGCTATATATGAAATATATACTATATTGTTTGGCCTAAAGTTAATGTAGAGAAAGTTATTATATATATATATATATTACTGATGATTATTTATGAACTAAATCAAACAAATTTAATTTAACAGTGAAAAATTAGTATTAACCAAAATTAAGCGATAAGTGTGTAGGGGTGCTCATGGGTTGATTCGAATCAATTATTGGTCAAAATTAAAATCAAATCAACTTGATCGATTTTATAATTAACAAAACCAAATATTATATAGATATATCGTTTTGGTGGTTATTGACTTTAGTTCGGTTATTCGGTTTTAACCATAAACAAAAATAAAAGAAACAATTCATTCTAAATGTAAAAAAAGTGACAAGATTCCAGTCCAAACAAAACAAAGTTAGAATGACTGAAATTACTCAACTTTCGATCACTGAATTTATCATGAATAAAGCTTTAAAATCAAACAAAGAGACATTAACATTTTCAGTCCAATAAAGAATTGTCATAGATACTCATATACATGAAACCAATAAAATAAATGTTTTCACATTTCATGTTTTTGCTTTCTACAAGCAAGTCATAAAGAAATTTTGATGAAAATATAAATAAGACCTTTAAAATTGTTTATAAAATAATATATTAAATATTTATAATAAAATATATGTATTTTATTTTATCAATTCGGTTCGATTATTTTTTTGATCTTTTCGAATAAAACTATAATCAATTCAAATATTATCAATTTTCAAAAATCTAAAATCAAATCAGACTAAATCCAAATAAAATTGGTTTATTTTTATCAGTTTAGTTTAATTTTTTTTATTTGAATTGATTTTTATCCAAATCGTGAACACCCTTGTATTAAACATTATCTTAGTATTTATTGATTTGACCATTTTGAGACATAGATGCATATAGATCACGTGGTGGAGGGGAAAAAGTAGATAAAAATAACTAAGTATACTCCTTAATAAAAGGAATAGGGGCAATAATATTAGACGTAACAGTAGCTATATAAAATATCTTAATGAATGTTCAACTAATTGAAGTCAATTATGCAGCTTTTCTTTTAGTTTTATTTAGACCCTTTTCAGCTTATAGGCTGACTATAGTTATTTATTGGCCGTAACAAAGGAATTATTTAGGAAATCATGGATTAGATTAGAGAAAACTAAATCTATAAAAGCGTAATTTGTCACTAATTAAGCTAAGTATTATTTTTATATGATGATTACGGATTAATTGAAGTACCGACAATTTAGATAATTTCTTATTTCTTCTCATAGGGAAAACTCATTTTATTTTCAAAGCCTCCAAATTAGTACTTCTTTGTATTCCTATGAAACGTGAGTACCACCAGGGGCGGAGCCACCTTGCTTAAGGAGTATCGAACCAAATACCAATGCACATTTATTGAAAAATTTTATATATATATAAAGGTTAAATTTTAATTTAATAAAGATTTATATAAGTATTAACACCTAATAATACAAGTTGAAAGTTTTGTTTAATGGTAAAGAGATTGTAATAAATTTTTAAGGTTGCGTATTTTAGCTCTACTAGCCTTATAATTATTATTTTTAAACTAACTCAAAGAGACAAAACTCGTCCAAATCTTATATGGAATGCACTCATTTCATTAAGTGTCTTTTTATCATTCTTTAACAATTTTGCATGTTAGTATCACAAATAAATTTTTCAAACAATTTTTTTATATATCAAGTTAATCAACCAACATAACAAGGGGTTAGTGGTACCCTATTCAATCATTTCCTTTACAAAAATACATTGGTTATCAATCATTATACATACAAGCTATATACATAAGATTAGGCCTCAACTTAAAATGCGTTTCGATTTCTGATAATCACAAAATTAATAGTTATTTTATTATCTTATAAAAACACATATATTTTTGCTTTCAATTATCTTCAATAAATAAAATAACTATTTCAAAATAATACCTATTATTTGAGTGACTATTTTAAAAAAAAAACTCTTTAAAATGGAAAAAACCAAAAAAAAAAAAGGAAAAGGAGAAAAAGGTATTCATCACATGGTAGAGTAGTGAATGATAAAATTAGAGCATGAAAAGGGAGGATCTGAAGGGATTCACGTGATATAATATATAGTACTACAGTTGGTAAGAAAAGACCATGCACATGCACGCATGCAATTTGTTATCGCTCCTTAAGCCCAGGAGGGCCCTCAAATTAAACGGGTCGACCACCTGTTTTCTTCGTTTTAAAAATAATGATCTACTTTAATTTAATATAAAATTTATAAAAAAAAATATAAAGATTTTTTAATTTTATAAAAATTATAGTTCTAAATTAAAATTATGTCAAATTTATTAAAATATTTTTTAATCTTATAATTTTGAACATATAAAAATAATTGTGATTCTAAATTAAAATTATATGAAACATAAGGATTTAAAATAAAAAAACAAACTAAAGAGAAAGTACAATCTAATTTGGGATATTTTATAAAGTAAAGCCATAGAGCAGTATACCACAACAGAACCATTGTACAAATTGAATTGAAGCAAATAGGCCCATAGTACTTGCGTATTTTTCTAATAAGTTAAAAGTATGCTACACATATAAATAAAAGAAAATTATCACACACAAGAAGAAACTTTATGTAGAGTAATAAAGGGTACCAAAAAAATTACTTTATATCGTAGGTTTAATTTCTAATTGTAATATTATTCCACTCAAAAAGAAAAATTCTGACTCTACCACGACATGCAAAACATCAAGAAATAAAGCAGGGATAGAGGGTCACATTCATTTTCAAAATTTCAATTCAGTAACCTACTCTCATGGATTTACTACTGTAAAGATGGATGCTTTAATCTTGGTAATTAATTAATTTCGGTCAAGTATTTTCTGGCGATCGAGCAGGTTAATAAAGTAAGTAAACAACAGTAGTAATAACTTTTTGTACGGAGGGGCTGTATGAATGTCATAAGAAAAAGGGAGATCGATGTGAATCTCAAAGAGTAAAATGAGTTGGTTTTTTACCTTGTTGGGACATTGGCCATCAATTATTTAGGCCGGGAGAAATTCTGCTGGGAGCATGCAATTTCGAATGGATTTTGCGGAACGTAAATTAAACTGAACAACTATCACATATAGCAAACATAAAAGCATATTTGTATGCTATAAATTTTGCATTATTACTCCATAACAAACATAAATATGTATATTTACATATATAAAAAAACAGTTGTATAATTCGCTATACATATACAAAGAAACCAATAGTAAATTCGCTATACATATAAGAAGAAAGCAGTTGTATACAAATCAATTGTATAATTTGTGTATGTATAAAACGAGAAAGAGAGAAAGACAAAAGAAAATTGGACAGCGGAATATTTGTATTGTATAATTATAAGTGTATAGGACGAAAATATATGTATTTGCATGTGTATACAATTTTCTCTCGCTTTATACAAACAGGAACACAATTTATACATTTCGTTTCTGTTTGTATAAGCGATAAAGGCGAGATTAGAAAGCGATATCTGGGTGAGGGGATAAAAATATATGTATATATACAATTATGTCTCGATTTGTACAAATACAAAAGCATTTTATACATTTGTGAGCGAGCGAGCGAAAGTTTAAGGGAGAGAGACCGGCAAATAATATGCTACAGAGTACAATTAAATCAAAATGTGATTATAACATTTAATTCGATTTATTAGTTTGTCATTTGGAGATGAAAAAAAAGTAGGCACAAGACAGGAAATTAAAAAATAGGTATAGTTGTATACTTGTTAATTAACTCTATTTATATATGCTTTATTTTTTTACATATGTAAGTTCTAGACACCATGAGTTCTAATGAACATGAATGTTAGAACGATAATCATATGAAAATCGACACATTATAGTGATATTTCACACGATATAAATAGCCCAATAGGGAATGTTGTAAATGATGAAGGGTAAATAATAGTGAATGTTTTTAACTAAAAGTGCAACCTTGTTGTAAATGATGAAGGGTAAATAATAGTGAATGTTTTTAACTAAAAGTGCAACCTTTATATACAAAAAGATAAACATTACTTTAGTCTTTACCCCATTAATTTTAAACTCTTTTAAGTTAAAGTCATTTGTTTAATTATGAGTGAGGAATGTACCAAATGTACTAGTGTTATTTTTATTTATTTTTTTCCTCTAGGGCCCAGATGCATGAAGGTAAAATGGTCTCTCTTCATTTTCATTTGCTCAATATTTTTGTTGTTATGTATAATTTTATCTCCATAAATGATGGTGACATAAATTTAACCAAACTGGGGCACACACCTGAAAGTCTTATATGCTCTACTATACTTGTGTGTTTGTACTTGCTTTTG